TGCACAGACACACACTCCAGCATTTAAACTTGTACCAAGCTCCTGCACAAACACCCTGCTTTAAACGTGTCCTCTTTAATCACAGCATCCAGACCACGTCATTGCCATGACGACATCAAATATCCACTTTGTAATCAGTATATTTTTCTGTGTGTGTGTGTGTGTGTGTGTGTGTTGAGCAGAAGCTGATGCAACATCTGTGGCGATTGGCACAACTCTTGGAGCATGATCCCGGGGTCCTTGAGAACAGTTTTATGGAGGCTCGGTTCACCTATTACAATCACTTCCTGCCCTGGAAGCTCCTTTAATGACACACAGACAAGAGGTCTCTCTCTGTACAGTGTTCCTGCAGCAGGTTACAGTTGCGTAATTCTTAAATAAATCTTATGATTCTACCAGGATCTTCGCAAACAGGGCGTCTTAAGAAGACATTTTAAATGCATAAAGGGTCACAAAGTCTAGTTGAGACTGAAGTAACTGACTGGAAACTCTACATCCAGATCAACAGAATGAACCTTTCTGGGATTTACTAACCTGGATGATTGAGCGTGCATCAAGACGATTAAAGGGTCAGTTCACCCATATTAACAAAAATTTGACTCTCACTTGGAGCCAGGCAGTACAGCTCTGCTGCTACCCAGTACACCAGAGCTTTCACTTGAGTTTTCAACATGAGCATCTGTATCCAGAGTCAGTGTGCATGCACCTTTGCACAACACTGCAAACTACTTTTAATTTGACCTATAAAAGTTGGAGTTGCACAGAAAACTGGGCAATACAGCAATTATTTTACTATAATTTTTGTTTCTCACCATCATTATCTAAAACCTGAAAATCATGTGGAGTAATTGGTGTTTCAGCCCCTCGGTATCTCTTTCTATAGAGACGTGCAGAATCAAGCCAAGGCTCTTTGAGCTTCTTCTGGCAGCACCAAACAGCCCAACATCTTATAAAGACTAGGGATGGGTATCCAGTGCCATTGTGGCACCGGTTCTGACATAAACGGTAGTAACCAGACCGAAAAGCAGCGCACATTTTGGTGCTTTATTTCGGTGCTTTATTTTACTGAGATGTCAGACACTTTGGATTCTAGCCAATCATTTTAC